CTATACTATGACTCTTTTATCACTCTTGTGGACATACTATACCATGACTTTTTTCAACATACTATACTATGACGTTTTTATCAATTTTTTTGACATCTTGTACTATGATGATTTTATCACTTTTTTCGGCATACTATGACGTTTTTAATCACTTTTTTAACATACTATACTATGACGTTTTTAACACTTTTCGACATACTATATTATGACTTTTTTCGACATACTGTACTATGGTGTTTTTATCACTTTTTTTGACATACTATATACTATGGCGTTTGTATCAATTTTTTCGACATACTATACTATGACGTTTTTATCAATTTTTTCGACATAGTGTACTATGACATTTTTATCAGTTTTTTCGACATACTATACCATGACTTTGTTCGGCATGCTATACTATGATGTTTTTTTTTTTGTTTGTTTTGTGTTTTTTTTCCCCACTTTTTTCGACATACTATATTATGACTTTTTTATCACTCTTGTGGACATACTATACCATGACTTTTTTCGACATACTATACTATGATGTTTTTATCACTTTTTTTTCGACATACTATACTATGACTCTTTTATCACTCTTGTGGACATACTATACCATGACTTTTTTCAACATACTATACTATGACGTTTTTATCAATTTTTTTGACATCTTGTACTATGATGATTTTATCACTTTTTTCGGCATACTATGACGTTTTTAATCACTTTTTTAACATACTATACTATGACGTTTTTAACACTTTTCGACATACTATATTATGACTTTTTTATCAATTTTTTCGACATAGTGTACTATGACATTTTTATCAGTTTTTTCGACATACTATACCATGACTTTGTTCGGCATGCTATACTATGATGTTTTTTTTTTGTTTGTTTTGTGTTTTTTTTCCCCACTTTTTTCGACATACTATATTATGACTTTTTTATCACTCTTGTGGACATACTATACCATGACTTTTTTCGACATACTATACTATGATGTTTTTATCACTTTTTTCGACATACTATACCATGACTTTTTTCAACATACTATACTATGATGTTTTTATCACTTTTTTTTCGACATACTATACTATGACTCTTTTATCAGTTTTTTCGACATACTATACCATGACTTTGTTCGACATGCTATACTATGATGTTTTTTTGTTTTTTTTTTGTTTTGTTGTTTTTTTTTCGACATACTATATTATGACTTTTTTATCACTCTTTTGGACATACTATACTATCACTTTTTTTTCGACATACTATACTATGGCGTTATTATCACTCTTTTGGACATACTATACTATGACTTTTTTCGACATACTATACTATGGCGTTTTTATCGTTTTTTTCGACATAGTATACTATGACGTTTTTAACAGATTTTTTTGACATACTATACCATGACTTTTTTTTTTATCACCCTTTTGGACATACTATACTATCACTTTTTTTCGACATACTATACTATGATGTTTTTATCAGTTTTTTCGACATACTATGACTTTTTTATCACTCTTGGACATACTATACTATCGCTTTTTTTCGACATACTATACTATGGCGTTATTATCACTCTTTTGGACATACTATACTATGACGTTTTTATCAGTTTTTTCGACATAGTATACTATGACGTTTTTAACAGATTTTTTTGACATACCATACTATGACGTTTTTATCAGTTTTTCGACATAGTATGCTATGATGTTTTTATCACTTTTTTCGACATACTATACCATGACTTTTTTTTTTATCACCCTTTTGGACATACTATACTATCACTTTTTTTCGACATACTATACTATGATGTTTTTATCAATTTTTTCGACATACTATACTATGACTCTTTTATCACTCTTGTGGACATACTATACTATGACTTTTTTACCAGTTTTTTCGACATAATGTGACGTTTTTTTATCACTTTTCGACATACTATAGTAAGACTTTTTTCAACATACTCTACTATGACAATTTTTTTTAGTTTTTTTTAGCCACCTTCCTTCCTACCCTACCCTTCCCTACCACCCCTTCCTAGTTCCCTTTCTTATTACCCCTTCCAGATGTGAATCCCAGTCTCCCACACTAATGCCCGTGGCCTTAACCACTGAGCTATCATGCCGCTACACATACAACCTTTTATCTGGGCGCATTTAACCTTTTCATTTGGGCGTTGGACTTTGAAATTCACCTGCCCTAGATGAGGATTGAACCTCTGAACTCATGATCTCCAAGCAGCTCTGTAACAGCCTGAGCTATTCCATCTCACACTTCTGCTGTGTTTCACTGAGCCTTTCACTCTCTCCTCTGGACAGCGGACTTTAAAATTCACCTGTTAAAAACGTCATAAAATAGTATGTTGAAAAAAACAATAAAAACTTTGTCATATAGTATGTCAGAAAAACTGACAAAAGTGTCATTGTGTAGTATGTCCAAAAAACTGATAAAATCGCCATAGCATGGTATGTCGAAAAAAGTCATTAAAAGAGTGATTGTATAGTATGTCGAAAAAAAAGGCATAGTATAGTATGTCAGAAAACGTTATAAAGCGTCATAGTAGTGTCAAAACGTCACTAGTTAAAACGTCATATTATAGCATGTTGAAAAAAGTGCTAAAAACGTCATAGTATGTAAAAAAAAAAAAAAAAAAAAAAAACTTGAAAAGGTCAAAGCATAGTATGTTGAAAAACAAACGTCATAGTATGTCACAAAAATTTAAAAATGTCAAAGTATAGTATGTCGAAAAAACTGATAAAAACGAGATAGTATACTATGTTGAAGAAAGTGATAAAAACATTGTATGGTATGTCGAGTTTAAAATGTCATAGTATAGTATGTCGAACAAAATCACAGTAAAGCATGTCCAAAAAGTCACAGTGTAGTGAGATGAAAAAGAAAATTCAAACTTACTGTGCGGCCTTTCTTCAAATGCTGGCTCCATAAATAAGCACATCGCCAACCAAACTTTGAGAACCTCTGCTTCACATCATTTAAGTGATGAGACGAAGGGGCAACGATGTGATTCATGTCAGATTTGGCAAAGCACAGTTGGGTTATGCTAAAAAGTCCTGTAATGTGAAGTGGAACATTTATTTATGTGACAGGAAATATTAAATGTTTATGAGCACTTCATTACGGCCCTATTTTTTTTTAAAACCATAGCATGGAGGATATGAAACCTACGACCCAGAAAACAAATCAAAACTAATGCCACAGTATATAAATGTGTGTTGAACAATTAATGTTACAGTAAATCATAACTTAAGAATTAAGTCCAGCCAATAAAACATGTCAGGTGTCCACCTCTCTTATCCCAATTTAAACTCATGTACCTTAAGAATGATTCAAACTATGTATAATTCACAAACTATTTATAATTCACAAATAGTTGACGATTATTTTTGCATATTCAAATAAATCCAGGGAATATTGAGCTTTGGCAAGCATTCGCATGTTGCTATGCAGAGATGCCAGGACAAACGAGCAGATAACTGAGTCCATACTGCGTAAACAAATTTAGAGTTTCTTTTAGACATCGTTGGCTGATGCCTTTGGTGGGTCATGTTTTATTTTGTGTCTTGGCGTTGGGATCACACAAACACATTTCAGACGTGCACTCTTCAAAACAACCCCCTGGGGGGAAAAAAAAAAAAGTCATCATCACTGCATATAAATTCAGCAGTTGCCCTTCTGAACAGCTTGCATAAACTAGCGAAAACATATTTTACATGATTGTTTGGGAGCAGTAGATAAAGCAGTTATTTATTTTTTAATTTTAAAGGTTTTAGAGGTGAAGGTTGAACTAGTTCAAACTGATGCAGGCTTCTAAACATTATCTGCATTGCTAATTTCCAATTCATTGAAAGAATTGCCAAGCTTTTAGTCAAGACCTTTGTTGGAGTATTTTGTTTTACAGGTAACAAAACCTTTTATCTGCGGAGAAGTGCTCTTCTATTTTGGCATAAAATCAAATATTTAGACTCAAATTCAGGGTAGAACTCTGAACCAACTACTGTCAATTACTTTGAGAAACAAAATTGCAATGTTTTTGCGGGCGGGTGGAAAAAACAAACAAAAACACTTTTAGTTTGCTTATTTTTATTCAGCAGATTTTTAATAGAATGCAAAGGTCCATTATGTGGAAACAAATTCAAACACTGTTTCTGCTGTGGCATACAGAGACAGAAAGATAAGAGACTGCCCACGACAGGATCATAACCATTATTAGAATGTAAACTTTACAGAAGGAGATAGAGAGATGATAAAATGCCACATGATGGCATCCGTTGTTTTTTTTTTTTTTACTGGTCATAAAAGTGTGACATAGTGAATAAACGACAAAACACTCCCCACAAAAACACCTGCAAATGTCATCATCACACAGATATACATTGAAGACAAAAATAAACTCATCCTTTTTTTTGTCTGTGTGGCTCCACCTACAGTATTTCTCTAAAATAAATCCATTTACACTTTTCAACATATCCTCACATTTACATGAAAGTCATTAGGGAAGCATTTGTTTGCAAAAATCAAGCCCCCCCCCCCCCCCCCCCCCCCCCCCCCCCCCCCCCCCCCAAGCAGCCAGTTCCTACCTGTACAGAAGAAAGCAGGGATCGGGCTAGAGCATCAGAGAGCAAAGAATGTGATTGGCTGAAACACATACGTTAAGTATCATAATTATCATTCACACAGGAAGTCTGCTGAAAAGGTAACATGGCAAATAACACAGATTGGCAATAGTGCAGGCTGCTTGAGCTGGCAGTGGGCCATCAGGAAAATTAAGGATGAATGGAAAGTGATTCTTGCATGATTATTTTTTTAATTTTTATTTTAGCATTGCTAGCATGCTCTATTTTGAGCTAATGGGGGCTAGCTGGAGAAAAAAAAAGTGTGAGCAGAAGAGAAGTCTGGACTGGAGGGATGAAATGTCAAATATAAAGGAAGATTGAGTCAATGCTTGTCGTTTAGTTTTTGTCGTCTGTCTTCTGTCCAATGCGTCACTAGCCGTCCATGTTGGTCTTTGGAATGGTGTTGATTGGATGGTCGGTTTTCTTTTTTCCTTTTTTTTTTTAACGGCTGAAACCAAACTCATCAGCATCGTCTGCACGGAAGTCTCCATAGCGCCAAATGTTGAGCTGAAGGGAAGACAGACAAATTTTATTTATTTTTTTATTTTTATTTATTTTTATTGACCATTATGGGACAAACAACGATAAGAAGTGGTGATATCCCTGATTGCTTTGAATGGGGATCCAGTAACAGATGAAAGACAGAGAGCAGGAGCAGGACAGAGTTGCAACAATGCAATGTTGAGAGTACGATCACTGCTTTCACAGCCCAGTGTGAAGGCCGCATCATCATCACCATCACCATTTAATCCCTTGCCTATCCAAGCTGGAGGCCCGCAGTGCCTCAGATACTACCCAGTCTATTACTTCTCCTATTCCATTACATTCACACACTCGCATCGCCTCATAAACCATCACATGCATTTCCCAGCTAAATGTTGCCGTTATTACAATGGAATTGGCAAAGAGTGTGTGTGTGTGTGTGTGTGTGTGTGTAGCAGCCTCCTGTACGGTTTTGTTATTTGAATGTGATAGAAATGTTGCAGTCTGAGGTGTTTGTGTGTGTTGTGTACGTACGAGGGTCTGTGTGGGATGTTTCTTTTTTGGCTCTCGGAAGCATGCGCGCTCAGCTGTTAATGCCGTGATTCATGGCTAATTAGTGACTGTGCTAATTAGCACTAGTTATTGGAATTAATGAATGAATAAATGAAGCCATTTGTACATATTGCCATTTCCCCGTCTCTCACTCCACTACCTTTTTTTTTCTGCCTGACACCCTGAAAACACGGTAGTAACTGCAATTGTGATTAGAGCCAATTCCGTCTGCGGCTGGCTCATTGTCTGAGCCGCATGCTGCATAACCACGGGGTAACTGAAAGAGCACAGGAGGGACAGCTTCCTCTAGCATTTTGAGCCATCGTGCTTGACATTTACATGAGTAAAAACAAAATAGGATCCAAGTGCTATCTATGCAAGCTCAGGGGGGTTCTTGTGAAAGGCACCTCGGATCTGTACAAACACTTTCCTGTCAAAGTCTAAATATAAAAACCAAAAGTGATCTGGCCTTTGCCAACAGGTCTCACTAACACTTGGGATTTAAAGCACCCCGAGCTCATGCTGTTGGACATTTAGTATTTAACTTCTCTCTTGAAGGATGAGGCTGATGATATTTTCTGTTTTTGTTATTGTTAAAGGATCCCATGAAATTACAATAAACATCAATATGTTAGATTGTGACGAACCCAGACTATCTGCTGCACTACCGAAGATACAAGTTTTTAAAAGGTCACTAACACAGTTTTACTTTGAAAAGGCCAGACAATTATGTAAAACAGTCAAACACTGTGGTTTATCGAATGGCGAGTGACATACTTGGTGACACGTTTATTAACATTATGAAAGAACATTAGCCACAAACACTGCTCAAGAATGGCTAGAAGACCATGACAAAGAGGTCAAGGTGTAAACCTGGCCTCCAGATTCCAAAGATCTCAATCTAATCGAGCACCCATGGGACATGCCAGTGCCCAACCTCACAACCCACAGGACTCAAAGGATCTGCTGCCAACACCACAGTACACCCCCAGAGGGTCTGTGTCCATGCCTCAACAGGTCAGTGGCCCGACCGTGGATCGTATTTGGCTCTGACCTGTCAAGGCATGGATACAGGAACTCTGGGAGTACTGGCATGTCCCATGGGTGCTTGATCAGTTTGGGATCTGGGGAATTTGGAGGCCAGGTTGACACCTTGAGCTCTTTGTCTTTGCTAAGGTGACCACTGCCAGGGGGTGTGCCTTTGCCATGACAGAGTGAACATGGTCTATAACCACATTTGGGTGGCTGGTGCAGTCCATGTGGCATCTACATAAATGCCAGGACCCAATGTTTTGTAGCAGAACATTGCATTGTAACGAGACTATCGGTTATCTACTTCACCTGCCTGCAGTTTTAATGCTGTGGCTGGTCGGTGCATGTTTTTATTTTGTCTTGTATCTTATTCTCTACCTGTTTTTGAATCTTGTTATTTGTACCTTACATTTAATTATTTGGTTTTTGCACTGGGGACCAGGGAAACACTATATTGCACTGTATGGAGATGGATAAAAATACACGTATACAGTAATTAGTCGATAGGTTTTTGTTTAGATTAAATAAGGTCTGTGGTTAACACAAGCTTAGGAGATTTAACATTATGTTCTATGATATAAAATACGTCAGTATTCTAGTATAGTATTACAGTACCCTAACTGCAAAAGTTAAAGCTTTACCTTTCTTATAAAAGGCTGCCAACAAATGCTAAATGAAACTACAGATGTTGTCGAGGATATCAACCGTCATCACACAGAACACGCAAACTACTCTACTCACTAGTAGGGGTGGGAATCTCCAGGCACCCTTACGATTCGTTTACAATTCAGAGGGTAACGATTACAGTGTGGCTCTTGTCCAGGTCCCTTTCCCCTTTTACCTACCTCCATACCCTCACTTATAACCAGCTGGATTTAGATTGTAGTTGATTTCCGCCTCTTTTGTTCCTTCAGCATCATGTTATGAACAAACATTTACACAATCGATTATTATTATTGGGAATCTATTCCGAATCATTCACATCGCAATGCATCTAAGAACTGATTTGTTTGGATTATCTTGCTAAACAAAATGTGTAAATAAACTTTTGTTTGGAACATAACTGATTTTTCTGCAATAATCTGAAATAAACTGAAGAATTAACATCGGCTTTTTGACAATGTTAACTGCTGGGATGGCCTACAAAGGAATGTCACCCCTGCACCGCTCTATAAAGTCCCTCTTACGTCTTATGTCTCATCTGATCATTTTTATTAGGCTTAACAGTCAATACTTGTTAGTGAAATCAATACATTCTTGGTTTAGTTTTTCAGTGGAATTTAGGGCTGCACGATGAGCCAAAAAAAAATATCATATTGCAATTATTTTGATAGATGTTGTGTTTGCTATGTGAGGTCACAGGAATGGTGATATTTATTTTATTTTCACAGGGAAAAAAAGATTTTTGCTGCAGTCTGTACCAATAAAGCACGTTCCCTTATGTCAGGAAAATGACTTTTAGGGCCAGTTTATTTCTGTGTAAGCACAGTTCTTAATTTTAATATGTTGTGACACATTTCACCTTTATCAAAAAATTGCAGCTCCTGTGATCTGGATTTTACACTTGGCCATGTTGCAACTTAGATAATATTTCAATTAATTGCACAGCTCCAGTGGGATTTGTTGGCAAGAAGAAAACTAGCAAATATCATCAGACCTATCCTTTAAACACAGTTTTGCCTTTGTATAATGAAAATGAATACATTCTATTCGACCTCTATTATTAGATACTTTGATGTACTTGCTTTTAAATGTTTGCCGCTCGTTTCCATTATTTTCCTGCCACTTTCCCTCTGACTGCCCGCACAGTTTACTGGGCTCAAATGAAGTCATTTCCACTGGACGGTGTTGTGTCACAGCTCTATGGCTTGACCCATCTTCACACGAGAGCCCTGTGTGTTATGTGCTGCCTTCTATTCACTCTCCATTTTTTTCCCTCCTCTCTTTCTACCCTCACTGCACTCACTTTTGCACACATCCCCACCCCCATTTTCACAGTATGGACCTGCACAGACTGTGGGCAGCAATCCATATGGGACAATGGCGACTGCCAATGTAATGTGTCGCATCTTGAGAGTGAGGGAGGGAGAAAAGGCAGCAAAGAGAAAAGGGACTTTCTCTGGTAGTCGGTGTGGAAAAGTAATTAGTGTTGTAATGTATTCTTGTTTTGGCAACATTAGATTTCTCACTGAGAGGCAGACAAACCACAATTATTAGGAGTAGGAGGCGACGACAGAGAGGCTGATGAAAAGACAGAGGGAAAGACAATGAGATGAGACTGGTGGCGTTTGGATGAAGTGACTTACCCTGGCACTCTTGGCAGATTCTTGACTGTTCAGGTACTCTGTCACCTAGGGCAGAAAGAGAAGAGCCATTAGCATATCACATCACTGCGTCACAGGGAGGATTTTAAAGGATTAAGGTGAATCAATGCATCCTTTCAACCTGCTCTGCCCCTGGAGACATTTCTTTTACCTGCTTACATGGAAATTCACAAGTTTCTTTGCACAAAGTTCAATTTTTTTTTTCTCTGAAGGCCACTCGCTCAGCCTCCCAGCAACACTGGATATAAGGAACGCAGTGTTCTCTGAAGATCAACAGGATCAAGATAACACACATAGACACAGAGTGGTTATGTCTCTGCAGGGGATGCGGAATGTACAAACATGTGAAGGAAGCATAAGGAGCGTGCGACGCCACATTACGGCTTACTGTTTGGGGTCATTGCTTTATCCGCCGTGTGCAGGGCATCACTTCGCGCTTCATGCTACAGCTCACACTAGCAAAGTCACTGCAGATGAGAGGCTCTCATACCCCCCTTGTGCCCGCTAGCCTCAGGTCAACACCTCACTGGTTTGTAGCAGCAATTTATAATCAAGTGCCTTCACAGGACGCCTTGAGGGAGCTGTTAGCTAAAAGGGGGTGAGCCCCAAGTTGTACCTGTGTTTCATGTAGAGAAATCAGAGCTCTATTGATGAGTGGTAAACAGGCATGTGAGCCAGATTATTAAATAGTTTTCCATGGCTAAGTACAGTCATTTCTGATGTTTGCTGTGTAACTTTTAAAAGCACAACCTCTCACCTTTGCTTGATTCAATACACTCAGGTCTTTTTGCAACAGTCTCACATGGTCTGGCTGTGATTAGTCTACATATTGCTTTCTCAATTAATCAATTAATGAAAAATGCCTCTCACAATTTCTGTCAGCCCAACGCGACACCTTCAAGTAACTTGTTCTTTCTAGCTGAGAGTGCAAAACCCGAACCTGATCAATCCATGGTTTTATAAAACAAAGGAAAACAGTTAATCCTCAAGTTTGGGGAGCTGGTACATGTGAGTGTTTCTGTATTAAAAATTACCTTAACTAATCGATTAGCAAAATAGTTGCCACTCATTTTTTTTAGTCAATTCCCTAATCTACCTATCTTTTCTGCTACTGTATGACTGGTATCTTAAAGCGGCTATTGTTGGCAATCTTTAGGTAGATTGTGCTGCACATGGGACATCACAGACCAAATAGGCTACCTTAATTACTCTTTCTACTTGTGCTACCATTACAGAGAATGAATCACCACTTGTAGCCACATTGAGGCTGGGTATTGGTACTGTATACCTTACAGGTATCGACCAAAATAACACACAGTAGTATCGAAACATCTCCAGTCAAACGACAGCTGTAGTTGATCTTTTTCGTACCCGCATCTTGACAAAAATAATACTTACATACATACAGCAAACTAACTTAATGACACAGCCAAGCACAAGTATGATGCTGAGGAAAAAAGTGTGGACCTTAAACTAACGACTAAGGAGACACTTGGAGCCCGTGGCTGGACCAGTAGGGAACCAGTGGTGTAGACAAATGGATTAGAATATAAGGTATGAACAATCAGAGATCTGTGTTGTGTGATAGGTTTTCAATTTGTCAAAACAAGCAGCATATCTGCAAAAGTTGCATGGAACTACAAAACGAATATGCAACTACTGAGTGACAATTTATTACATTTCACTGTCGCGCACATGTTCATTAAGGTGGTGTCATGTTGGCAGTAACCTGTAACATTATGTGTCTGATAATGAAACGCTTCTATTTGTGTATAAGCTGTGCTGCCCCCAGACCCACCTGTCACATGTATATAAACGTGATACTCATGAAAACATGTTGTTTTTCTAATAGAACAACCAGCATCGCTCACATGTATGAGCATGACACAAAGACCTGGACGTATGCAACATGAACATACTGAGAGTGCAGAGAGGATACAAAAGAGTTGGAGGAGGAGAGAGGAGGAAGCCAATGTGCAGTGTTGAGCATATTGACTGCTTCTGCTAGAGCAGCCATTTAGCCTCTTTGAATGAACCAGTGATGAGTCATAGGGCCGGGGGGGGGGGGGGGGGGGGGGGGGGGGGGGGGGGGGGGGGGGGGGGGGGGGGGGGGGGGGGGGGGGGGGGGGGGGGCAGAGACAGAGGGGGAGTGAAAGAGGCCGTGTTTGGTCAGATGGGTACAGTGTAAGTGGATGTATGGCCCTTGGAACGCTCCAGCGGCAGACCCTCTGAGTGGAGCTGTCCTCCACCTTTACAGTGTCAGAGTGGAAGCAGAGTGATAAAGCTCTACATGAGGCCCTCACACACAGTTCACCTCACCTCCACCATGTGTAACCCTGGCCACCCACACCACTCACAGTCTGTCTGTGATGGAGGAACTTCTGTAAGTAAGATCTGTGCAGCAGATACTTGAATTCAAAGCATAGCTCGCTGGGTTCGGATAAGCGGGACAAACGTTGAGGACAATACTGGCGTGACAAAAGAAAACAATTTAAAGAATTAAATAAAAAGCAAAACTGACTTGAAAGGAGACAGGAAAGATGAGTCACTGTGTTCTTGTAATGGATTCAATTGTGCACCACGTTTTGTAGCTTATTATAGTAGCAGATGAGCTGGCTTTCACACTCAGACGCACGCACGCACGCACGCACACACACACACACACACACACACACAAGAACAAGGATGCCAGATGTTAAAACTGTCGAGTGTGGATGGGGCTCTGGAGTTTAATTGCTTAGCTAGCTCGTGCACATAGGTTGATTTGATAGCTACGCTGCACATGGCACCGCCAAGATAACAGACCTGCAGCTGGAACGTACAGCCACTCTGTCTACGCGAGTGCACGTGCGAGTGTGTGGCTGGGGGAAGTGCAGTGGCTGCACAAGTCATCCATCAAAGCCAACTAAAGGAGAGAATTTTTTGGAAGGTGTCGGGATATGGCATCGTGGTCCCATCAGGCAGATGTCACCATATGGAAGACCCAGCCGACGATATTTCACAGACACAAAAGGCCAGTGATGCCATTTGGGCTTTGGAGGGGAGCTATCGGTGCCCGTAGCGGTTTTAGCTGTCTTCTTCTAGTGCTGCACTCAGAGAGCTATAGGGGCTGACGAAAATGATGTGGAAGAGGGTTTCATATCTGCCAAAGTGGATCTAGCGATAATTGAAGAGAAAAGAGAAAAATGGCTCGAAATACAAATCCCAGCTCAACTTTAAAAGAAAAATATATTCAGTCTTCACTTTGCCAAACGCTACACAGCTGAGAGTATTCTGTGAAAGATGCTTAGTCAAGAGCACTACAGCACAATATGCACAGATGATCTGCTGCCATATTGGCACTACCGCGGTGAGCCTCTTTGTACTCCGGTCGGGAGGGTGCCTTTCCTGGCTCGCCCTCATCTTTCACTGTTCTGCTCACTTCAGCTCAGTGTGACACAACAGCCAATCAGTGCGCAGCTGAACACCGATGATGACTGTCTTCGGATGCTGAACAGCCCCACGTATCCTGTCCCGGATCCGTCTTTCACAGCTTTTCTATTGGCTCCAGTAGGGAGGCATAATAGTTCATTAAGACGCGAACAGAAGCAAAACTCATCTGGAGACGACTTAGAGTGGCGAAGGAGAGGAATGTTTCTCGTCACGGGAAACAAGTGCGACGGTAAACACAGGGATGATAGAGGGGAGGATTGTCAGGAAAAGAGCAAAGGCGAGAGGCCAACAAGGAAGGAGCTTAAAGCTGATTATGTGGTCCAGGTGAGGAGGAGAAACAAAAAGAGGATAATGAATGAGGGGACGAGGAGAAGAAAATGCAGTGATTAGAGGGGGGTTGGGTGGCAGAAGGCAGCGGGTGACAGCGAGCTTGTCTGGATGACCCTACAGAGCTCCCATATGCCAGACAGATGCCATGCTTGGTGAGCAGTGGCAATGGACACTGGCAGTAGCAGAGAATGTGCTGCTGGGCTGAGGAGGATGCAGCGTGTGTGGGAGTGTCCTTGACTGTGTGTGATTAATTCTTAGCATCCATTTAACTCTGCTCAGAGTCTGCAACATGCAACAAAACAACTCTCTGAAAGTTTAGCTGATTACAGAAGTCAATTTATTATAATTTCACGGCAGCAGTTCACTTCTGAGTGGATTTAACACAGCGCCGTAAGACTGGAAACTATCTGATGCTGTGCCCACAGTCAGGAGAGAAAAGATTTATAACTGCTGTCTGAGTCAGTTTTAATGCATGCAGGTAACTTTCTAGTTGCAGACTTTGTGTAAGTGTGATGCTTTTCATAAGACGAACGACAGGTGGTGTGGGTCTGGTGTTTTGGCACTTGTCAGTGTGTCTGCCTGGCTGTGAATCTGTCTGCCTGAGAGTGAGAGCGAGGCCGTGTATTTCCCCGTGCTGGCCGGCATGCCATGCCCAGGTGGTGTTCTGGTAAGCATGGTGTGAAAGTGATGGATCTGAGCGAGCGCTAACATGGCAGCTTTCTGACAGGTTGTGCGCGTCTGGTGCGTAGGTGAGCTGCCTCTTTTTTTTGTGGGATTTCAAAGCACGCAAAATGTGACGTGAAAGCAGATTTTGGATGGGGTGCATATGAAAAGCAAGTGACTAATCAAAGTTTTGACACCTGGGTCGGGTGTGTTCTCTTGGTCCTTGCTGCCGAGATGGGATGTCAGGTGACGTAAAAATCACTTGGGTGGAAAGGGAACAATGAGACTTGTCCTCCGTGCATGTTGAGCTTTTCTCATTAACAGCAATGACGATCAGACACAGCCTCCCAGACACGAGCAGCCAAAGTCAAAAAAACTGCCACTCACTCCCTTTTGTCATTGTTTCTGTGTTGCTGCACTGCTCTTGTTTTTTCCCTCTGCTCTCTCAATCCTCGTTACATCTCGTTTCATTCTCCCTCTGCCTGCCATCTCCGTCTCCTTTTGACTCCACTGAAAGCAGAAAGCTCTGCACAAGACAGGTCGTCGTCAGAGCGTTAGCCGGAACATAACGGCTTTTATGTCTCTAACTCACAGTGTTTCAA